GCCCCACACCCACCGCGTCCATCACCTCCTTACTCCCCTCGCCCCCGGCCACCACCACTCCACGGTTGGTTCCCAGTACTCCAGTGCTGCCACCTGCCCACCCCGAGGCCACCCCAAGTCAGGGGCTCTGGCGCTATCCAGCCTCCCTTTCAGTCTCCACTTCCTCCCGGTGAAATAAAAGCTTCAGCACTGCCTCCACTTGTCAAGTGAGAAGAATGACGGGTCTCCCTTCGCAGCAGAGATGGGAAGGTGCAGAAGGGAGGTCCTGCTCCAGAAGTCGGCCACTTCTGTCACCACAGTGGGTTCTGTTCCCCCGGCCAGGACGGGCCCCGGGCCCAGCCGCCCAGCTCCCCCCAACCCGGGTCGGACCCCGGCCCCCGCGGCGACCCCAGCGCCCACCCGTCGCAACAGGAGGTTCGGCTCTCCCGCCCGCGCCGCGGCGGGACGCGGAACCCGGGAAATGCGCCTGCGCGGGGCTCTCTTCCCAGGCCAGGACCTTCTCCCAGACGGGCCTGAGCGACTGCGCCTGCGTGCGGCCGAAGGCGGCGGCTCCATTCTCCGGACGAAGGGGCGAGTACAGACTGCGCAGACGTGGGGAGGGGGGCCCAGGGAGGGGCTCCGTCGGCGGCCGGCCTGCGCGGACTGCGCCTGCGCGAGCCGAGGGCGGCGGCTTGGGCTGCTGGTGGGCGCCGTCCGCCTCTCCGCACCCGCGGTGTGGACGCAGAACTCAGCGGAGAAAGGCGGCCGAGGTAGGTTTCCCGTGGGCAGCTCGGGCGGCTGGACCGCACTGAGGCAGGACGTGCCAAGTGAGTCTTTTCCGGGCGTGTGCGTCAGTGGGTCGACCGAGGCCTCTGCCCCCTGAAGACCCCCAGCCTTCCCGGCTGCGAACTGGGCGCTCCAGCGGCCGACCGCAGGCTGGGCGACGGCAGCGCCACGCCCCTTCCTCCGAGCCACGCCCCCCCCCCCCTCCCCCCCCCCCCCCGCACCACGCCCTGCCCCGCCGCGCCTCTCTCCGCAGCCACGCCTTCTCAGGGCCGCGCCCACCTCCCTTCCGGGGGCGCGGCCCCTCCGAGCCCCGTCCGTTTCCGCCTTAGCCCGGGTCCTGCTCCTGCGTCGGAGCCCTCCGGCCCCCCCGCCCGTTCCTTCTCCTCCCACCCCGCTCATTGCCGTTGGCCGCTAGTCTCTGGGGATCCTCGGTCCTCTCCCCCCACCGCCTGGTCCGCCGGCCTGGCCCTGCCTGGTCAGCCAGGCCGCGCCCCACCCTGCTCTAGCCCCCCTCCTTCAACCCCGCCCCGTGCGGGCTCCGTCCCACCTTGGCCCCAGTGCCAGGGTTTGCCAGTGAAAATGCAGTGTGTATGTAAGTGTGTGTTGCTAACCTTAAAAAAAAAAAAAAAAAGAAACCCTGCTGGTTGTTTTAGCAGCAAAAATGGGTTTATTTAAGAATGGCATAGAATTACAGTCCAGGATAAGGAAGCTAAGGCTGGGAGCTGGAGGTGTAGTGGCTTCTTGTTGGCGGGGCTGTTGCCGGGGCAGGAGGAAGCCCTTTCTTCTGCTGCACGAGTGAAGTAGTTCTCCCCTGCAAGGCCTGCCTCTCTCTGCGGGGCGTGCAGGTGGCTCCCCTCGCTGGCCTCCCAGGTCCATTCTAAGCAAGCTCTCTCCTATTAATTTTTACGCTCTAATTACAGATGTCACAAAAATAAGTATTAAGTCATGATAAGTGAAGCATGCATTTTAAACAAAGAATTGTTAGGTAATAAAAAGCCATCTTGGAGCATAGTATGGATTACACTGCCACTGGGAAAAAATGAGAATGAGAAGGGAAACCCTCTGCAAGATGTAGAACTTGGTTCCTGTTAGTGGAAACGCTTGAAGTCCCCAGATGGTGTTGACCTTGAAAATAAAACAGCCGGTTATTGTACCCGCAAATTGGGTTTGTTCAGAAATGACAGGAGTTGCAATTTCAGACGTGCAAAACTAAAGGCAAGTCTGGCGAATGTAGGAGAGGAGGGTTACTTTACAGAGAAAAAGGAGGAAGGTGGGAGGAGCTGCTTTGAAGGAAAACCCATTCGAGGGTAGTGAGTGTGGGGTGGCGACAACCTCCCATTGGCCGGGCTGTGACACTGTGACACGGTCTGCCATTGGC